TTTTTTACTTTTTTTATTACGAAAATAAAAAAATATTTCAAACTGTTATACTAAAGATAAACTTATGTTTCTTCTGCTGCTGCTGTTGTGATAAAAAATAACCGACAGCATCAACAGCAGGAGGAGGAGAAGAAAAAGTTCATATACAAAAGAAAAGAAAAGTCGATTCAAAAATTTTTTGTTTCCGAATGTAAAAAAAAAAAAAAAAAAAAAAACAAAAACGATTCGGAAAATTTTATATAAAAAATTCGTCTACTCGTAATAAAAAATCCGACGGTAGTGATAATAATAATAATAATAATCATCATCATCATCGTTTATACTATCATAATATAAATATATATATAAACAAATAGTTAACCGTATCAATTTACAAATGACTTAATCATATATAATTATCTATTTAAACTCTCATAAAATTATTTGTTATTATTATTATTATTATTATTATTATTATTAAAAACGAAAGCGTCGTCGTAAAATTATTATTATCGCACGTATTAATTATTTATTTATTAGCAAATCATTAAGGTTTAATAATAATGATAAAATAATAAAACAATTGTTTTATTTATTTCCGGTTCGGACGATCTGATTCACGTTAATTAATATTAATAATAATGATTTTTGTTTATTTTTTTTTAATCTTTGATGATTTTAATTACCGTCGGGAATATCAAATAATAAAATATTTGATCTGATTCAGAGGATTTGATGAATCCGTTAATTGATTTTCCCATCGTAATAATACTAATAATAAAAACGGCATTTCCGGTCAAGGTCGACATGTTTGTTTTTTTTTTTTGGAACAAATAAAAAAAAAAAAAACGAGAATGTATATTCGATATATATCGAATTGGATTTCGGAAGAAAAAAAGAAAAAAAATTTCGATTCGTTTCCGGTATTTAAAACGATATAATAATAATAATAATAAATTTCCGGTTTCGGACGCGGTTTTGTAGAGAGCGAGTGTGTGTGTTTGCGAATCGTAATTGAAAACTATTATTATTATTATTATTATGAGTTTTATCGATACCATTTATTATTTATAAAAGATTTGATATTCGATAATTGAATTGGCGGGGGGGGGGAATTTTTTAAATTTTCTTTTTTATTCCTGTAGGAAAAGCAACAGGAATATTAGTATAAATAAGGTTTTTTTTTTTTTATTCAGGGACAGGATCGAACCAAATTTCTTTTTTTCTTTTACCGTTTTAGAAATTTTGTTGTTTTTTGCCATAAGTAACGACGCCATTAAAAATGCACGCGCACGCGCAAACACGCACACGCACTGGATGCGCAAACCGAAAGGCGAAAATAAGGAAAAAAAATTAACTATATTAGATAATGGAAAAAAAAAAATTTTATTAAAGACTGGAGGCTATGGAGAAGTTAAAAAAAATTTTTTTTATATATATAAAATAAATTCAATAGTTTTTTTTTTTTTTAAATTTTGTAACATGTTCCAAAATAAAATGGATCGATGATGGAGATTAACAACAACAACAACAAAAATTTTTTTTTTTTTTTTTTACTTAAAAAACCATGAAAATATAATTATAGCGTTTAACTTAGCGTAAAATGAATAAAATTGATTGATTATAACTATTAAAAAAAAAATAAAATTCGTTATTGTTGTTGTTGTTGTTGTTATAAATAATAAAAAGCAGACGAAAAAAAAATAATAATAATAATTTTTTTTGTTTATAAAACAAAAATTTTGCACGTGTGCGTAAAATTTTTTCAGGATTAAAAAAAAAACCTTTCTGCTATTTTATTATTATTATTATTATTATTATTATTATTATTATTATTATTATTATTATTATTATTATTGATAATATTCGAATCGAGGTTAAAGAAAACTTTTCCTTTATCGTTTCCAGAAAAAAAAAGAAAAAGGTGATAAAAACCCATTTGATTTACGTCTGGAACGATTTTTTGGAAAAGTTTTTTTTCTTTTTTAAAAAGAAATTTAAAGACATTTATATTCTTTGTATGTATGCACCCTAAAAAAAAAAAAAAAAAAAAAAGTATACTAGAATCGAAAGTCATCGAAGGATTCACGTTTGACATGATATATAACTTCCGGTTTCTTCTTCTTCCTCTTCTCGTCTTCTTCCCTTTTTCCATATACGATATATCGTTTGTGATTTTCACTTATCCAAAAAGTAAAATATGATGAAAATTAGAGTTGTGGGAGGGGAGTAGTAGGTTAGTAGCGGTGTGGTTGAAAAGTGAAAAATGAGAATAAAAATACAAGGAAAAAAAAAAAAAATGTGAGTGCGTACGATAGAGGAGAGAGAGACATATAAGGGGAAAAAGATAGTAGTAATGATAATAATATTATAGAATATAGCACATTTTTGAACTCTATAAGAGAGAGAGAGAGAGAGAGATACGTCAGAATTCATTGTTATATGGATTTGCACCATGTCGGATTACTAAAAAACGTTTTTATCTTTTCACTTATGGAATTTTAAATTTATCACATCATCATCATCATCATCGTCATCTTATTTTCTTCCCTTTATTCCTACTATTATTATTATTATTATTATTATTATTATTATTATTATTATTATTATTATTATTATTATTATTATTATTATTATTATTATTATTATTATTATTATTATTATTATTATTATTATTATTATTATTACTTTTTTCTTATCATCGTTATTGTTTAACGTGAGTGACCTTTTTCAAAAAAAAATTTTTTTTTTTCCTTATTTAATTTTATGGAAATGAATGATAAACTAAAAAAAAATTGTTGACAATTTTTTGTAAATCGTCGTACCTTTAGAAAGAGAGGGAGGGAGAGAGAGAGAAAGAAAACTGGAGAATCCCACGTTTTGATAATAAAAAAAAAAAAAATTTTTCCAGAAAACTTTTTTAATTGAATGACTATTGTTGTTGATAAATATTTTTAATTACGTTACAAAAAAAAAAGAAAACTTTTTTTTCAGAATCAATGAAAATAATAAAATTTTATCAATCAAATACAAATAATAATAATAATAATAATAATAATAATAATAATAATAATAATAACGATTATTATTATTATCATTATTAAAAAGATATATTCTCGAAAGAATCGAGTTTTAAAAACCCATTAATTTTCTCCAGGCCAGTAATTTTATAAATTGCCGAAAGTTTATATATGTAATTTTCTATTCATGTAGGGGTTTTATAAAGTGAAGGGTTGGACAACTGGGAGAGTATAAAAAAAAGGAAGAAGATGAGATTAAAAAAAGTGGGTGGGAGGAAGAGAGGGAGAGAGATATCGGAAAACGTAAAAAGTTCTAGAACGAGTAAAAACAAAATTAAAAAAAAAAATAGAAGGAAAAATTAATAATAATTGAAAGGTTTAGTAGGATTTTAATTACTTAATAATTATCCGAATTGAATTGTGATAAGAGTGAGAGAGAAAGAGAAAGGGGAGAGAGAGAGATAAAAGTGTTAAAGAATTCATTGATTAACAAAGAGAAGGATTTAAGGTATTGAAAATAGTGATAAAGGTGGAGTCGAAGAGTCAGAAAGAAAGAAAGAGAGAGAGAAAAAAAAAAAACATTTTCGATGGTAATAAATATTATTCGATTAAATTTATGTCTTGGGTTGTGACGTAATTGTTAATTACTCTCTCACCTTTAACGAAACAAAAAATTTATTAATTGCAGAGGTAAAAACTCAATTTTATTACCTGTCGTATTATTACTCATTCTCTCCCTCTCTCTCTCTCTTTCTCTCACTCTCTCTCTGTCTCTTTTACCATTACTCTTCTCTCTTTTCTATGATACACACACACACACGCGCGCGCAAACGCATTTTTTTCATTCTTTTAAAATTCCATCACTCTCTTTCTCTCTCTCTCTCTCTTTTCTTACCCGTACGCGTTTTCTTTATTGTTTAATTATTACCCGTAGGTAATTTTTTTTTTTTACGTAACGTCACGTGACGATTACTAATTATACAACGACGAGTAATTTTTTAATGAATACATTAAAATAAACGCACGAATATATTTTTTTTTTCCGTTTTTCTCCCTGTATTTATTAATTTATTTTCACATGCGGCGAATTTTACAAAAATAAATACGCGTGGCAACAGAAAAATAGTATTATTATTATTATTATTTATTACGGTAATAAAATTGTAATTTTTTAATTTTTTTTAGGCTCGAGTTTTAATTAATCAATCACGAATTACTTTGAATGAAAAAAAGAAAAAAAATTTTTTTTCACTCTAACGGGTATTTTATAAAACAACATATAAATAATAATTTTTATTACGGTAATAAAAATAATAATAATAATAAAATAAAAGTTATTAAAGGTGGTAATAATAATAATAATGACGAACAAATGTGTTGCGGAAGGCGAAATAATTTAAAAAAAAAAAAAAACTTGGTATTTAATTATTATAAAAATCAGGTGGATTTTTTTCTTTTAGATATTTTTTTCCAGGGGGTTAAAAGTCACGATTCCGGTTACCGGGGGTAGGGGGAGGGATGGGGGAGAGAGAGAGAGAGAGAGAGATAGAAATTAGTTTGTTCAGCGGAAAAATAATTCAGGTAAGTTTAAAAAAAAATCAAGTTTCATATTAATTAGGGATATTATTCTCTTCTCTTCTCCATTTTAAAAACAATTATCCAGATTCCCCCCTTTCCCCCCTCTCCCTCTCTTTCTTCCCTCCATTTTATTATTATTATTTACTTCTTATTAAGTTATTAAATAATAATAATAATAATGAGTTTTGTTTTTTTTTTTTTTTATTAAATAAGGAGTGTGAAAAATATTCGTGATCTTACGTTAACTTAATGGGAGGTTTTGCATCGGAACGAAAAACGAAACAAAAAAAAAAAAAGAATAAAAAAAAATTTCCATTTTGCGGTTTTTAATGAGTTTCCAGGTACGTCTGGAGAAAACAAAAAAAAAAAAAAAGAAAAAAACTCGTTTCGAGGAAACGACGTGGTAAGCATCGTTGAATATTTTTTTAAAAAAATAAAAATAATAAAAATATTAAATTACATTTTAAATTATTATTTTTATTATTATTATTATTCCTATTAATGATAAAAAAAAAAAAAAAAAAATTTTTTTTTTCTAAATATCTAGTGCCACGACTTATATTTTTTTATTTTATTCTTATCTATTTTCTTTTATTTTTTTTATTTTTTACAATAGAAAACCAACACGGACGTAACAACCGGCGGCTCGCGATCGTTTTCCCCGGTTTTTTTTAGAATTTATTTTATTATTATTATTATTATTATTCGCATTTTGTCAATATATATTAAAGATCATCGTATATTATTATTATTATTATTTATAAACTAGTTTTAACTTGTATTATAAATAATGTATATGTTGATGTATAAATAAAAAAATTTCAATTATATTATAAATAATTTTACGCCATTTACAAAAAAATTTTCCAGGTTTTCAGGTTTTTTTTTTTAATTATTTGCATTATCCAGTAACATTTTATGCAGTATTTATAAAAATAAATTCCAGTATAGAGAGAGAGAGAGAGAGAGAAAGAGAGATATCGTTTCCTTTATTTTTATTATTATTATTTTTTTTTCCACATTTTTCTGTTGCCATTCTTTTTGGTTTTTATATCGCGTCTGCCATTTTAAATAAAAAAAAAATTTTTTAAAAACGAGAATGACGTCACGACGATGACAATAATCCGTTGAATGATATTTGAAACAAAAATTTTTCGTTTTTTTTTTTTTTTTTTTGGGGGGAAAGGTTAAGTTGTCGTTTTGGAATTATTAAATAAGTCAAAATTTGAAGAAAAAGAATTTTTTTTCTTTTGGGGAGGGGTGAGGGGGTGAGGGGAAAGGGGGGAAGAAATATCGAAAGGAAGAAAAAAAACGGAAGTTTGAAGTAGGCCGTTACAATTGCCATAAACCACCTCATCACTCAGCATGAATTCTATGGGTAGTAGTTAGTTAGTTGTTTTCACTCCTTTTCGACCTCCAGTTTTCTCCATAATCGCATCATGTTTAGTCATGCCATCATCATCTTGTCTCTTTTTTTTTGTTTCCATCACCTTTATTCATTCCACCATTTTTTTTTTTATTAATAAAATTATTTTCATATTTTTTAAACATTTTTATTTAAGTTAATTTTTTTTTTCTTCTTCTTCTTCTTTGACGTTTTTTACTATTATTATTATTATTATTTTTGTTTCCAGTATTTGATTGCATTTTTCATTCAAAACTATAGAAGAGAGTAAGTGGGGTAGAAGTAAAAAAAAAAATGATTTCATCATTTTGATTAAAAAAAAAGAGAGAAAAGAATGAATTGAAGGTGATGAAAATTTTTTTTTTCTTACCTACCCGTATTTAAATTTTATTTTTCTCTCTCTTTCTTTCTAACATCTCAGGTTTCATTAAATCAAAATTCGATTGTTAAAGTTTTTCTCTCTCTCTCTCTCTTTTTCTTACTTCTTTCCTTTGGCAGACGTCAAATATTATTTTCGCCTTGTTGTCTTTTTTTTTTTTTTTTTTTAATTCTTTCATCGCCTTTTTAACAAGACGACGACGTCATTTTTTTTTTTAAGTTTTCACGTTATGTTTGCGTTTGTTTGTTTGTTTGTTTGTTGTTTGTTTGAATTATATAAATCTTTCAAAATTCAAAATAATAATAATAATTATTTCTAAATCTTATTCCGATCGTTTTAATTTTAATCCTTGTCAAAATTTTTTTTTTTTATATTTAATTTCATACCTGATTAAGTAAAATGAATTTGAATGTTGTTGTTTGTTGGGTCATCATTGATTTGTTTGTTTATATATAATGCATAACTGTTCTTTTTTTTTTTTAAAGTCACTATTGATCGTTTGTTTGTTACATTTTCCTCAGTATAAGAACGTGGATGAGAGTTTGTATTTTTACGCGTTTGTTTTAACGTTTTTTTTTTTTACTTTTAAATTGTAATTATTATTATTTTCTCACCTGTTTGTCCTTCCTTCTTTTTCCTTTCCTTCCCTCCTTCCACTATCACCCCTCCTCTCTCCCTTTACCTTTCCTTAAAAAACTTTTTAAATTGAAAACCATTAAAAACTTTTTCTTTTTTAATCGTTCTTTTTATTGTTCTCTTGTCATTCAAACATTATCATTTAACGTTTTTCTCTCTCTCTCTCTCTTATCTGATAAGTATTATTAACTGACAGATAAATTTATCTACCTTTTATCTTTTTTTTTTTTTTAAATAATTTATTATTAATAATAGATTAATAATTAAATAATTTTTTTTTTAACCATCGTTCGTTCGAAAAGTTTTTTTTTTTTTTCTTTTTTTTTTTAATACGATGGAAAATATTTAAGATTTCCCTTCCTCTCCTCTTCCTTCCGCTCCCTTCCCTCCTTTCTTTCCTCTACCTATAGGTTTGAAAATTTTTTTTTTTTTTTTTTTAATTATGGATAATTATCTCGACAATTGATAATTAGATAATTTTATTTGCATGTTTTTTTAAACATTTTTTTTTTTGAAAAAATGAATTGTTCGTTAGCACGCTACGAAAATTCTACGAAAAAACAAACAAACAAAAAATTCTTCTACTTTTCGAAAATGTTTGTTTGTTGTTTTTTTCTTGTAAAATATAGAGGGTTGGAAGGGAGGGGGAAAGGAAGGAAGGAAGGAAGAATGGAAAAATTGTTAGGATAATTGGTTATAAGGCGATAAATCGTCTGCTTAAAAAATAGTTCTTAATGTTGCAAAAGAATTTTTTTTTTATTTTCACGAAATTTTTTTTAAATATTAAATAATGGTAATAATAATAATAATGATAATAATTTTTTTAAAGAAAAAAAACCTGAACTTATTTATTTATTTTTATCGATGGTTTTCCGATTGTTTTATGACTTTTGGAAAAAGGAGAAAAAAAATTAATTTTATTAAACGATGTAACCATTAATTTTTGTTTGTCCAAAAATTAACTGGACAAACAAGAATATATATATATAAATGTTTTTTTTTTATTTTATTATTATTATAATTTACAGGATTGTTACGGTTGCCATTTTTTTAAAATCGTAAATATTATCATTTTAAATCATGATTCTCATAAAAATCGATTTTTTTTTTTTTTTAAATATAAATTTAATATAATTCGTTTGTTATAAATCAAATTTTTTATTTTTTTCTTAAATGAATTTTTCAAATAATATTAGTAATTATTATTATTATTATTTCACATTTTTTTTATAAATTAAATTTTTTTTTTACCGTTTGTTTGTTTGTTGGCTGGTTGTTGTCCGTCGGTGAGTTATTGAAATCACGATAAAATATTTAATTGAATTTTTTTTTTCTCTCTCTCACTATTTTAGTAAAAGTCGTTTCGTGGTTTTATTTTCTTATTCGTTTGTTTTTGTAACTCGTTGAAGTTATACCCGAAAAAACAAATATTGATAACAAACAAACAAACAAGCAAACAAACGCCGAAAAATACAGAAAAAAATTAAATTTTTAACGATTTTTTTTTTGTAAATTTTTTTGATCGAATTTTTATTTATTTAAATTAATTTTTTTTTTGGTAACGGAAAAAATTTTTTTTATAGTTTTTTATAATTATAGCGCTATAAATTGTATAGAGTTTTATTATAGTTAGAATAGCACGATGATGTAATAAATAAATATTCATTAAAAAAAAAAATAATTTAAATCAATTTAAAAAAATAATTTGTCGGAAAGAAGAAAAAGAAAACGAAAACGAAAAAAAACGTAGGAGTTGTTGAAATATTTGATATAAAAAGGGGTAAAAAAGAAAAAAAGGGGGCGGTAAGGGATGAAATTGAAATTAAAAAAAAGGGGGTGAAATTGATAGGAAGTAAGCGTGAACAACCTGAACGTAACGAAAAACAAAAAAAAAAATTCCGATTTATACTCGTGTCCCTGTTTTTTTTTTTTTTTTTTTTTTTAATATAAAATTTTAGGTATAAGTTTAATATGGGGGGCGGTCAAAAAACGTCACGTATCATTTAAATTACATAATGGAACGAAATGGAATGAAAAAAAAAGGTGGCGGAGAAAATGAAAGAAAGAAAGAAAGAGAGAAAAAAAAATGTTTTTTTGATGAATTTGGTAAACTGATTTTCATACCTTCTCGACTCCCCATTATTTTTCTTCTTCTTCTTTTCGTTAACCTCATCATTATTATTATTATCATTATTATTATTATTACTACCTTTTAAATAATCATTTACTAAAAAAAAAAAAAAGACTTTACAAAAAAATTTTTCTTTTTTTTTCGTATGAAATCGTGGTAGTATATAATGGTATTAAACTTTTTTAAAACATCGTGTCACGAGACACGAAATATTATTTTAAACGGGTAAAGAGAAAGGGAGGGAGAGAGGGAAGGAATGAAGTAAAACAACCAACAGCGCCGCCATATTTCATTAAAACTTTTTTTTTTTTTTTTTTATTAAAAAGGCGTTAAAAAATATGGCCGACGAGTTTAGTTAACAAACTTATTTATTCATGTCGCGGATTGTCAGTTACATAATTAATTTCTTACAACGGCCATTATTATTATTATTATTATTATTATTATTGAAAAAAAAAAATTTCTTTGTGGACTATGGCTAAGAAATTATTTATTTATTTATTTTTTTTTCGAGGATAGAAATTATAAAATAAATCTTCTGCTTGTAAATAAATTAAACGTATAAAAAGTTTTCACAAAAAAAAAAATTTAAATTTTTTTTTTTTACATGCGCGCTTTCGAAAATTATATATAAATATTATTATTATTATCATCACGGGTGACGTATTGTGGTACGCCATATTTATTTATACATCGAAATTATTATTATTATTATTATTTTAAAGAGAATCTAAAAAAGTATATGTATAGGTAAAATTAAAGGCGTGAAAAGGCGAATTTTTATTCAAATTCCTTTTTTTTTTCTTATTTATATATTTAGTTCAGGTGGTACCAATCACCTAAAAAAAAAAAAAAAAGTTGACATTTTGTTGTTAAAAACATAATAAATTAAATTTTTTTTTTTTGTTAACCATAATAATAATTTACAATCGTGTTTTAAAGCCCCTTTTTTAAATATTGATAACGAATATAATCGTAGAGACCCTTCGAGTATTTTTTT